ATCTCAGAACCCTGATGGAGTTGAAGACTAGACAGTTATAGTCACAGTTTTCCCTGTTACCAAACTCAGAAAAGAAACTCACAAAAGAGGTGTAAAGTGTAAGGTTGAGAGACATCAAAAGATAGTTTTGGGTTGGTAATGCAAGTTAGGATAAAAAGTGAATTAGGTACAACAATTTGGACTCACCAAGACAGTATAGATAATGGGGTATTTTCTCTGAATTTGTCAAATACTAATGGACTAGACATTGTTAATGTAATTATTGCCTGTATATATTTGTATACAGTTATTGTACAGTTTTTCTATGTTAGTTAAAACCTTTACTTTTTAGTTAGACAAAAAAGGGGGAAATGTTGTATGATATTTTGTTTGTGTTCTGACAAATAAAGCTTGCCTGGAGATCAGAGGGCAGAGCTAGCCACTAGTTAACCATAGAGGCCAGGTGGTGGTGGCACACACCTTTAATCCCAGCACGAGGGAGGTGGAGAGAAGAATATAAAGTGGGTGGAGACAGGATCTCGACCACCTCCATTCAATGGATTTGTAGAGGTAAGAAGTTTCTAGTGGCTGTTACTCTGCTTCTCTAATCTTTCAGCTTTAACCTTCAATATCTGACTCCAGGTTTTTATTGTTAAGATTCAGTAGGATCATGCATCACATTTGTCCTTTTGAAAACTGTCTGTTTATTGGACAATTTATTGATTGAATGGTTTAGTTTTGGCCTGCTTAATTTCTGCATTACTTTTTATGTATTTAGTCTTAGTACCCCATCTGATATGTCACCAGCAATGATTTTTTTCCATTGTGTAGGCTGTCTCTTCATTACAGTTAAGACATTTATTTTCATATATCATAACCGTCCATTCAAGGGAATATTTCCTATGCTATTCTATATGTAAAATCCAGTTTTCTTACAGTAGCTGTAAAGACGTTGTCTTTTTCCCAGTATATGTTTCTGATAGTATATGTCAAAAATTAAGTGGGTAAGCTGTGTGGTGGTGGTGGTGCATGCCTTTAATCCCAGCACTCGGGAGGCAGAGGCAAGCAGATCTCTGTGAGTTTGAGGCTAGCATGGCCTACAGAATGAGTTCCAGGACAGCCACACAGTGAAACTGTCTCAAAAAAAAATTAAATGGTTTAAATATAGGTTTATTTCTGGGTCTTCTTTCTTTTTCCATTGGTTTACACGCATCTGTGTTTGTGCAGAACCATGATGGTTCTGTTATGTGGTTCTGTAATATAATTTGAGATCAGGTATTGTAATATTTCCAGAATTGCTCTTCCTGCTAAATACTCCTTTGACTATTTGGTTTTTCATTTGCTTTTATATTTCTATATGAATGTTAGAATTGTTTTTCTAGTTCTGTGAAGAATATCACTTTATGGAGAACTGGGAATCAAATCCAAAACTTCATGCACGGTAGGCAAACACTCTACCACGTGACATCACTCGTCCTAGTCTCTACCATGTCATCTGTGTCTAGAAATTTATCCATTCCTTTTAAAAATTTTCTTGACCTGGAAAAATGCAGTACAAGAAAGGGTAGATAATTAAGTTATTGTACAAGATGATTAGGCATTTGGGAGCTCAGGGGATTAAACTAAAGTTGTAGAAATATATCCCAAGCTCTAGAAAGACACATGCTGCAGGGAAGAACTCCTAGACATGAGATTTTCTGTGTAATATATTTAGAAAACTTAATGGTAAGTGGGTGACCATGTGGAGAAAGATCTGAAGACGCCATGGACCACAGCTCCTTATACCCATAAATCCCACCTATGAGACAGAATCCAACATTCCTTTACCTTAAACCCTCAGTGGAAATATGAGGCTACACCCAAGTGCTGCCAGTCCTAGGAGACAAACAGCAACAGGTTGAAACACCTGTGTTTCCAGCACCCAGCCCAGTTTACACCATGTGGGACAAAGTGGAATTGAGCTGTGCAAGAGCATACTGGGGGCTATAAATTCTCATCACTGACCCCAGCGTGGTCTACAAGTCCACCAGATGATATTAGTCACTTCCAATCATCACCTGTCTCGTTTAAGAATGTTCAGTCCTATACACTTTCTATTTCCTAGTGCTTATGTGATCCATCTCCTCTCTCTTTTCCACAGCAACAAAGCAACCACTGCCAAAGCCATCAAGGTTTCCCTGGATAAAATGATGCCAGAATAACCAGTTCTTAGCTGTGGCCCTTTTCAGCCGGAGTTTTCTATACATAGATTAATTACATACATATTTTTGAAAAAAGAAAATGAGCTTCATGGAGTTAACTTTAAGTCTGATGTATTTATCAGGCTTCACTACTTTAACAATCCTTGATCTTGAGTGGGACTTCAGTATAAAATGTTAGATTTAGACAATTTTCTATATTTGATTAAAGGTATTTGATTAAGTTGGCTACAATTTCCTTGTCCTTTTGTACAAGCAGGAATTTATTAACAGAAACCACCCTGGATTATTATGATCTAAACTCAAGACCATACAGAATTTTGTTTAAAAAAAAAATCAGTAATAGCATTTAAACCCTTGTGATGTCCTGATCCAATGTCAAGGTCATCACTGTAGATGTAAACACTAGAATCAGTCTGCTTAGAAAATTGAGATCAATAATTGATGTAAGTACTACTCTTGTTAATATTGGCTTAAATCATTCAAGTAACATTTTTTCCTCCAAAGTCACTTCAATCAAAAATTTCAATACAAAAATAAGATTAGTGATTCCAGAAGAGGTGATTTATAGTAGATTTACTAGTTATAGCTCCACAAGGGCTTCTTGATTTATTGGTTTTTGTTTTTTTCCCATCATCTTCACAGTGCAGTGAATGTCACGGATTGGGGAACTAAATGGTAAATGGATGCCTATGTGGCAAAAGGACAGTCTGAAGCACCTATGGATCACAGCTCTTTCCATTCACAAATCCAACTGAGGAGAGAGAAGCCCAAACATTTCTCTTATCAAAAACTCACAATGGGACTGTGACCCAATAACTGCTAGTCTGAGGTAACAAAGCAGCAACAGGTGAAAACATCCAGGTTCCCCGCTCCCAGACCCACAGCTGGATCTCATGGAGGCATTTTCTCAATGGAGGTTCCTCAGGAACCCTTTGAGTTCTAACTTGAGAGCTAACAAAGTGCTACATATGGCTATTGCAAAGATACTCCTTGGAGAAGTTCACACACACACACACACACACACACACACACACACACACACACGCCCCTGCCCCGTATGCTTTCTGAGGTGCCTTATTCCTTCCCTGACTTCCCGACTCTCTGTTTTTTAATAAACTCCAACTCTGCTTCACATGGGCTCATCCTGAAATTCTTTTCTATGGCAAAATCAAAGAATTAACTTTGAGTGGACATCCCTAACAGATGAAGGGAAGTCCTCAGGTGGTTTGCAGCAGTTCTTGGTGGTGTTACCACCTGCACCATGAATGAAACAAGCTGTATTTCTCATCTCTAATTAGAATGATCATAAATACCTCTGTACATCAACGAACATTGTTAGGAGAAGACAATCAGCACTTATGCTTAAATGCTAAGACCTAGTCAGAATGTAAGCAATATTTTGGTTTCATCAGTAACTGAAGTCTTTGTGAACAGGATGGTGTGAAGGAAACCCAAGAAAAAGAGGAAAAGCAGGAGCAAGCAGAGGGCTGAGAAGAGTGAATGAGAAAGCATACCCAAGGGTGGACAAGAACTATTTTAATCTTTTTAAAGATTTATTTATTTTTATTTTACGTGTATAAGTGTTTGCCTGCATGTATGTGCATGCCACATATGCGTGTCCAGTGTCAAAATGGGTGTTGGATCTATTCCAGGGATTAATTTCTGATAGATCATACAATCCTAAGAAATCAGAACTAAAGACATACAAGCAACACCAAAAGGACTTGCCAGGCTGTGTTTACGTGCACATGTGTGTGTGTGTGTGTGTGTGTGTGTGTGTGTGTGTGTGTGTGTGTGTGTTTAAAATAACAAGAAGAGGTCTTGGATTTAAGAGGAAGTAGAGGAAACAGAAGAAACTGAAGAGAAGAAAAGTTGAAATTATGTAAATACAGTAATCATGTATGGAATTCTAAAAAAAATTTAATTAAAATAATGGATAGGGAATAATATCCTGTTTTAATCTCATTTCCAGTTGCTGTGATAAAATACCCCTCCCCCAAAAAAAAATTCTAGGGGTAGAAAGCTCAGAGTTCTAGACTAGAGTCCACCACGGTCAAGATGTCAAGGCAGCTAGTCGCATCAGCAGAAGAATGGAGAGAGAAGGAATGCATACACGCTTCCCAGGGCTCAGCTTGATTTCTTCCTTGTTATACAGTCCAGGACCCAAACTCTGGGAATGGTGAGGCAGGCTCACAGTAGGGCGGAGTTTTCCCACATCAATTAAGTAATCAAGGCAATCCCCAAGGCTAACCTTATCTAGACAAATGGTCACCGACAATCTCTTCCTAGTGACACTAGGTTGTGTCAGGTTGACAATTAGAAACAACTATCACACTTACAATACACCAAGAGTCCTCGGACAAAAATTCTAGCAGGCTATAAGCACAGGAGGGCCCAGAAATTCCACTTACTCCAAATAAGCCAAGAACTTCAGGAGAACAGCTGCCATCAATACAGTGTTATCTAGTAATGCATGCTACCATACCTCCGAGACAGGCTGTCAGTAGATGCACCCTACCGGGGCAATCCTACACCTATCACCTCTCTCCACTCCTGGGCTTCTGAGCCAGCTCTCCTGTCCCAGAAGGGCAGGACAGACTAAGGAAGCTGCATCCTAACGGAAAGGCTGCTCCCTGCACCATCCCCACCAGCCTCTCTCCCCAGCGCTGACCTGTATCCAGAGGCAATGGCCCAGCCTAGGTCAGCACAGCACCTCCCACTCAGCTTCTTCCCGCCTCCCACCAACCCGGGACCGCTCCCTCCAACTCGGACCCGCCCACCCCGCATCGTCCCTCGGGTTCCGGTACATCCTGGACCAACCTCCATGTCAGAGATGCTACCAGAGCGCCAAGAGGACCCGCGACACTGGCCCAACTTTGGAGAAGACGGCCAGAGAGCAGAACGCACAGGCGCAGAAGGAACGCGGAAGCGCCCTTCCCAGAGTCCTTGTTTGTGACGTCGCCGTGGGCGAGACTACATTTCCCACAATTCCGTGTGAGCGAGTTTCGGGAAGCCTGGGAAGGTGGTTGGCAAAGTTCCTGGGTTAGTGTCTGACTGTTTGCCGAAGAGAATGGGGAGAAACAAGCCATGTCTGCACATGGACAGCCACAGGGAGTCAGGCTGCCGCATTTAAAATCTCGGGTTCTCGGCAGTGGGACCAGATCTTGTGCTCATTGCATGAGTTGGCTGTTTGAAACCTGGGGCCTATGCAGGATTGTTTGGCTCGGCCTGGGAGGAGGGGACTAGACCTACCTGGACTGAGTCTACCAGGTTGACCTCAGTCTGTGGGGAAGGCTTTGCCCTGGAGGAGATGGGAATGGGGGGGGGGGAGGGCGTTGGGGGGAAGGTGAGGGGGACGGGAGGGGGGAGAACAAGGGAATCCGTGACCGATATGTAGAACTGAATTGTATTGCAAAATAAATTAAAATAAATTAAAAAAAAAAAAAAAAAAGAAAAAAAAAATCTCGGGTTCTCAAAATGAGATGTTTGGATGTGAGTCGAACCTTTGACAGCAATGTTTATTAGATTTACTGCTTACTTGGAGTCTGTATGTTGAGATTTAAAACTTGCTTGCTACAGAATATTTTAAATATTAAAAATTCTTCCCAGGTTCTGTATACAGATGCACAGAGACACATTTCGGGAGATCAAGTCTTTTAATAATGATGGCCATTCCCAGCGGGGAACCTGGAATATGGAGGCAATCCAGCAAGAATAAAGGGAATTCCTTTTTGAGTAGAGTCCAGAGGGGAACCCTCTAGAGTTTACCAGATGGATGGAAACTCTAAGCCTGATTTAAGGTTGTAATTTGGGAAATTAGTTCTATCACACTGCCCTACCTAGGTGCTATCACATAGGCGTTTAGCACTGGAAAGTGAATAGATAGGATACAAGGTTGAGCCCTGTTCAGGGCATCTGCCATCTGTTTAGAAGTGTTGAGATCAGTCTACGCCCTACTCAGAGTTATTCCACGTTGTTTAAAAGGATTTTTCAGGCTATGCCCTGCCCTGAGAGAAGTCATTTTAAGGATGGAGGATGATGCACCCTGAGTGTACAAGTGACATCTGTCTGGCAGGATTTCCCTCCACATTAGGCTTGATCCAGGATGTTCAATTCCGGTATTTTCCCTGATCCTGAAATTGCTCCTCAGTAAGTATTCGGAAAACCAAGGGTATCTGTCTTGAACTTCTCTCACTACCCCCAACTCAGGATGGAGAAGCAATTATACCCTGAATAACAAGGCAGCTTCAGAATTATGCTCCTGAGAATACAAAATGAACTAGATGTTGATCCAGAACATTCTCTTCCTAGGGGAAAAGGATGATTAGGCAGGCTGCCATGGCCATTTGGGAGGGATCATCCCATTTCTGCCAGGGTTTGGGCCACAGATGTTAAAGAACCCCAATGGAATAACAGCCTCAAGACCCATCAAGAACATATGAGTGATCGAAGGGATCTTATCATCAAAGGAATCGGGAATCAATTACCAGATACCAAACTATGAATGAGGTCTTTAATATTCAGCAAAGGAAGAAGGAAGATCTGACCAAATTCTCAGGTTAAAAGATCAAATGACAAAGTTGAACATGGAAAACTCCCTAAGTCAAGAAATGTAAAAATGTTTCATGACCAGGAGTTATTTAGACATTTCTAAAATGCACCAAAGATAGAAAACTAGATAAACAGAGCAATGGAAGAATCACTTGAGAAATTTAGAAAGTGTTTGTGAGAAGTGATGGAAAACCCCCAATGAAAGTGACCACAGAAATAGAAAATCCAGCAACTTAAAGATTCACAAGGAAGCACAAAGGTCTCTGAATAACTAAAGCAATCTCTAATAGAACATTGTTGGAAGTAAAACAATGTCCAACCTCAACTTACATTACACAAAAGTAAAAGCCACAGTAACAAAAACTGCAAGGTATATCACAAAAACAGACATGTAACACAATGGAATAAAATATAAGATCAAGGGCTGAGCAGTGGAGGGGTACACTTTTAATCCCTCCACTGGGGAGACAGAGGGAGAAAAATCTCTGACTGTGAGGCCAGCCTGGTCTACAGAGAGCAGCCAATGCTACATAGATAAACCCTGTCTCAAACAAAAATAAAACAGAGAGAGAGAGAGAGAGAGAGAGAGAGAGAGAGAGAGAGAGAGAGAGAGAGAGAGAGAGAGAGAGAGACTTGTGTGTGATCTAAAACAAATGGTTACAGCCCCGGTTTTTGACAAAGCTAACAAAAACATATACTGAAAAAGATACCATCGTAAAAGAGATTTATTTATTTATTATGTATGTAGTGTTCTGTCTACACGCATGCCTGCATGCCAGAAGAGGGCATCAGATCTCATTCTACATGGTTGTGAGCCACCATGTGGTTGCTGGGAATTGAACTCAGGACCTCTTGAAGAGCAGCCAGTGAGTGCTCTTAACCTCTGAGCCATCTCTCCAGCCCCCAAATACCTTTTTAATAACTTATGCTGGGAAGCCTAGATTCCATATAGAGGGGAATACAAGTAGATCCACATCTCTGACCCTGCTGAGAAAAATCAATGATCAAAGATTTTAAATTTCTAAGTTACAGGGTTAGGTTGTCAGATTCCAGTAACTCAAGAAATGATCACTGGAATTGACAAGTGGGATTACATGAAATTAAGAAGCTTCTGCACAGCGAAGGAGACAACACTAGAGAGAATAACAGATGAAGAGTGGGGACAATTCTTGGCCAACTATATCAGACAGAAGTTTAATATCCAGGATATTATGGAGTACTACAAAAGAATTCACAACAAATAGCAAATCATGGATTTTAAAAAAAATAGGCAAATGTTCTGTAAAGACAATTCTTAAAATGTGAAATGCCAACAGATAATGGATATGTGAAAAAGTGTTCATGGTCTGAGTATTTGGAAATTCAAACTAATGGTGCATGCAAAAAAACCAAGTGTGGTTTTACATGTTGGGAATCCCAGCACTTGGGTACTGGAGACAGGAACATCGGAGGGCTGAGGTCATCCTTAGGTACAGAGCAAGTTGGAAACAAGTTTGGTATAGGTGGCACCCCACTCACAAACAATGGAAACTGAAAACACGGAATGGAAATGCTTTGAGCCTAACTCCCTAATCAAGACTGCTATGAAGGCAATATTCTTTCACATACTACCACCAAGAAAAATACCAGCAGTGTAGGATTCTAGGTTGCAAACAGTAAATGAAGACCAGGGGAGAGTGAAAAACTGTAACTCTGGACTTCCAGAAAGGCTTCACTAATGAATTTTCCCCTAACAATTACCTGGTAGAAACAGCCAAAATCTATGCAATGTGTAGAATTGAATTCCATCTGTTCTAGAATTCAATGGTGAATGTTTGAATCCAAAATGAATGTTTGTCCAAAATGAATCACTCAATGGTTAATTCAGATGATAGTGTTGTCAAACAACATAGCAAAAATTACTAAAATAATTCAGTTCAAAATTGGACATTACTCAGGAATTATTTCTCCAAATGAGACATACGAATAGCTAATACACATGGGAAGCACTCAATATCACTACAGGATTCTGACAGCTCATAATTTGCAGTCCAATAACACAGTAGCCTGAAGGATCCTAAACATCTTTACCATGAAAATCATAAATGTTTGAGGATCCAGATCTGCTAATTTCGTTTATTATATAATTGACAAATATACCAAAACCATATTCTCCAGCATGCACAACTGCAGTTACTTTGAGTCAATTAGGAATAAGCGCTTGAAATGAAGGGTGCCATGACTACCTAAACAAAACTACCCTTATTATATTCGAGTAACTGGAAGTACACATCAGAGACAGTCATTTCTGATGAGATGAAGCTGAGTGGAGAGATGAGAAAACGAGAGCCATAGCATTGGTTATAAAGGACAGTGGCTGTGATGCCCATACAGCTGCAGGTTAAAATGAACACCAAAGAATAAGACAACTAGGAAAAGGAACATTGTCTCCATAAGCTCAGTGTTTGTTCTGAAGTGTCTTCACACCATGTCATCAGTTTTCTTTTTCAAAAAAGCAAGAATTCTGAGGTTTTTTTATTGCTAGAGAAGATTATTTTGTTTCTGTTATTTCAAACAATAATCTATATGAAGCTTTCCCTGTGTTCACCGCAACACAGTATCTCAATAAACTTCAAATATTAAGATGTGTCTTACCAAAATGAAAAGGAGGAATAAGTTTTTTTTAAAAATGAGATGTAATAATAAATGGATGTGTATCCTAGTATATTTGTTCTGGTATCATAATTTAAAGGCAATTTCTGAAAATGATTAAAAAATATTAGACACTATTAAAAGCACATTATTGGTAAAATAAACCTTCATTCTTTTACAAACAATGCATTATGTGATGCAAGACTAACAATAATATTAGAATTAGCATCAAAAGACTGAAAAGCAATCATTTCAGAGAAATGAGCTCTGTGAAGATCAGGGGTGTGTGTTTCAGAATATGTGATTGACTGTTTGATAATGAGAACTATTTCAAAATTACCTTCTGTGGTGGTTTAAGAGAAAATGGCCTCCAAAGGGAGTGGCACTGTTAGGAGGTGTAGCCTTGTTGGAGGAAGTGTGTCACTGTGAAGGCAGGCTTTGAGGTCTCATATATGCTCAAGCCACACCCAGTGAGACCGTCCATTTCCTGTTGCCTACAAGATGTAGAAGTCTCAGCTCTCTCTCCAGCACCATGTCTGCCTGCACACCACCATGTACCAGGATAATGGACTGAACCTCTGAACTGTAAGTGAGCCACCTCAGTTAAATGTTGTCCTTTCTAAGATTACTGTGATCGTGGTGTCTCTTCAGAGCAATAGAAACCCTAACTAAGACATCCTGTATTTGAGGATTCCCTTTTATTCTCAAGTTCCCTTAGTTTCGTGCCAAAGTTCATATGACAGTTGCATAGTTCCGCTGATATGAATGACTACTAGCAGTGTGTGCACTGTTATGCTGAAGAGGGTCTACAGTAAAAGTTTTGATAGAATTTGATATAAAATACAAGAGTCAAAAAGGGTGTAACTTTATTTCTATAAAACACATGATATGAAAGTAATTGATAGGTGGATGAAGAATGATATAACATAAACGATAATATGCTACAAATTACCTGAAGCACATTAACATTGGGAACAGACTCTCCCACCAATCCTCAGTAGTGTGTAAGTAAAATGTTTCCTAGATCCCTTATGTTCTAGTTTGTTTCTCTGTTACTTTGATACACCCCACGACCAAAAAGCAACTTGGGTAAGAAAGGGTTTCATTTTACACATTACAGTCCATCACTGAAGAAATCCAAGGCAGGAACTGAAGGCAGGAGCCTGAGCAAAGATCATGGAAGAATGCTACTTAGTGGCTTACTCCCATCTCATTTTCAGTTACCTTTTTTATACAGCCCAGGTCCATATAGCCTCGGGATGGTTTTGTCCACAGTGGACTGGGACCTCCTATATCAATTGTACTCAAGAAAATGTAACAGTCATGTTTCTGGCCAATCTGACAGAGACAATCCTTTAATTGAGGTTCCCTCTTCCTAGATGTGTCAAGTAGACAGCCAAGATTAGCCATCATACCTCACTAAGGTAGATTTTATTTTAATGTCTGTAGCGGAATGTAATTCTATACACAACATTAACAGTGCATTAAGAACCACTTATTTTTATTTACAAAAGTCACTAAATTTCATATTCCAATAATGTATTGTATGATCTCTGGGAAAAAAACAGACTCTCAAGCCTCAGGATTCAGTCATGTTCTTCTGATAAAATTATCTAGCAGTTGTGATCTTTACATTTTTTCAAAATTGAGCCTATGTTATAATTTGGATTTATAACATACTGATATCCTCACAGATTTGAGTTATCTGCATGACCCCAAAGTCTGTAATGAGTTTTTCTATCACAACAACAATTCCCCTAGAAATTATAAGCAATATTTCATGCTTTGTTAAATTCTATACATACAATTCATGAAGTTTGTCTATGATCATTCCCTTATATCTCTTAAGGTCTACATAATGACTAAAGTCTTGCAACACTGTTTACACAGTGCTTTTTACTAGTAGCTTTTCTCAGTTTTACATATTTTACTGTTCCTTCCCAAGTCATTATGCATGTATAAAGTTTGATTATAATTCACTCATGATTAATGAGGATTTCCCACATTACTTGCATTTATAGGGATTCTCTAAAATGTAAATTTTTGATGTTGCATAAATATAGACTGCTCAACACAGTCACCATCTTCAGCACTACAAGATTTTTCTTGTGTGAAAGAAATGTTGGATGTTGAATAAGGGTTGAACTGTTATTAGAGGTCTTCCCTTGTTCCTTTCATTTCTAAAATTTCTGTCTCATATGAATTCTTTAGTGTTGAAGGATCAATAAACAATTATTGAAGGCTTTTTGACAGTGTTTGCACTAATCTGCATTTTCTCTGATATGAGTTCTGTAGTGCCGAGTAAAGCCTGAACAGTTTTTAAAGGCCTTGCCACACTGTTCACATTTGTAGGGCTTCTCTCCAGTATGAAGTCTCCAATGATGTTTAAGGTTTGAAGAAGAGTTAAAGGCCTTACCGCATTCTTCGCATTTGTAGGGTTTTTCTCCAGTGTGAATTCTTTGATGTTGAGCGAGGCTTGAAGTATAATTGAAGGCTTTGCCGCAGTCTTTACATTTGTAGGGTTTCTCTCCAGTATGAATTCTTTGGTGTTGAATTAGATTATAACAATTATTAAAGGCTTTCTCACATTCTTTGCATTTGTAGGGTTTTTCTCCACTATGTATCCGTTGGTGTTTCATATACGTTGAGCAAATGCTAAAGGCTTTTCCACACTCATCACATTTATATGGTTTCTCTCCAGTATGAATTCTCTGATGGTAAATAAGGTTTACAGAACAGTAAAAGGCCTTGCCACATTCCTTGCATTTGTAGGGTTTCATCCCACTATGAATTCGCCGATGCTTATACAGATAAGAAGAACAGCTAAATGCCTGGTCACAGTCATCACATTTGTAGAGTTTCTCTCCTCTATGTATTTGCTGGTGTTGGTGAAGGCTGGAAGAACAGTTAAAGGCTTTGCCACACTCTTTACATTTGTAGGGTTTCTCTCCAGTATGGGTCCTCTGGTGTTTAGAAAGAATGCAGCGAACGTTAAAGGCCATGCCGCATTCTTCGCATTTGTAAGGTTTCTCTCCAGTATGAATTCTCTGGTGTTTAGAAAGTGTTGAGTGAACATTAAAAGTCTTTCCACATTCATCACATTTGTACGGTTTCTCTCCAGTATGAATTATCTGATGTTTAGAAAGTGTCGTGCGAACACTAAAGGCCTTGCCACACTCTTCACATTTGTAGGGTTTCTCTCCAGTATGAACTCTTCGGTGAACAACAAGGCCTGAACAGTTAGTGAAAGGTTTACCACACTCTTCACATCTGTAGCGTTTCTCTCCAGTGTGGATTCTTTGATGCTTACCCAGATATGAAGAACAGCTAAAAGCTTTGCCACATACTTCACACTTGTAGGGTTTCTCTCCGGTATGAATTCTTTGGTGCTGTTTAAGGCTGGAAGAATAGTTAAAAGATTTACCACATTCTTCACATGTATAAGGTCTCTCTCCAGTATGAATTCTCTGGTGTTGAATAAGGACTGAATTTCTATCAAAGGCCTTCCCACATTCTTTACATTTATGGGGTTTTGATCCTGTTGAAAAGGGGTTGACATATAAGTAAAAGCATACCACCATATTTTATAATTATACTGCTCAATTTGTAATATGAATACATTAAATTTTTGACTATATTTTGACAATATAAGCATCACATAAATGGGAAATTATAGACTATATTCCTATATTCCCAGTAGCATCATTTAGAAAATATTGGTGTAAACAACCTAATCTACCACTGAACTGAGAATATGAAGATAATGTGGAACAAAAAATAACTTTACTTTAAATAGCCAAATTTGATATAACACCAAAATAAAAAGTTCTGAAAGGACATTTTACTGAAGGAAATAAGCGCATTATATAAAATTTGCAATTTTGGTCTTACATGAAAAGTCAGGTTGGAACACATGTCAAACAGGAAGCTAATGGTGATTGTCATAGATTAGTTGGAGGAAGAAATACAATTTTTTTGAGCATACAGTTTCAGTTTCCAAAGCCACAGAATCTTGTAAAGATGTACTACATAACACTTTTAAACAATATCCATGAAATATTTAAGAGAGTATTATTTTACCAACAATAATATAAATACATTAAAAAATCAAATTATGAAAAACTTTCTAGTTTACTTAGAAGTGGCATAAGTTCAGCTAAGGGGAACATGTATGTCAATAAATATATAAGTTGCACAATTTCTGGGAACACCCATTTAGAGGGCTACAACAAGTATTGAGTAACCAATGAACAAAGAAAATACACATGGCTTGAAATCAGGAATAATACTTTTTTATAGGCAAATGATAACAATTTCACTCTTAATAGACCTAAGGCATAGGTGTCTTAATATCTTACATTGTCCTAAAGAATACAGTAACTAGTAGTGTCATCTAGAAAAAATATCCTGGGTACAGCTAAGCATATTATCAGATAATGTAAAGGAGTCTAGAATAAAGAAATCAAACACAGAAAATAGAGTTGCAAAATAAGAAAAAAAGAGAATGAGTTTGGGACCCATAAAAATTTGTAAGAGTATCAAAGATGTACTAGACAAAACTTATCTAGATGTGTGGTTTTCAGCTATGACTTCATACTGACAAAAGCATGGCATTTTAAATTTCTGTCATTTAGTGTGAGGCAAAAAAATATAAAAATAAACCCAACCCTCATAAAAATACATTATTGGACCAACAAGATGATGGCTTAGAAGGTAAAGAGCATTGACCCCAAGCCTGAACACCTCTTCTCCATCCCCACAACCCACACAGTAGAAGGGAAAAAAAAATCAACTCTTGTATTTTATCAGCTGACCTCAAAATGAGCAGTGTCATGTGTACACACATGCACACATGTGAGAGCTCGGATGAAACTAGTTTGGCTAACGAGCATGTACATGAAATTAGAGATGCTTACCTGTTAGAGATGCTTATCTGTGGTGTTACTGTGTTACTAAGGCTTTTAGAAATGTTTAGACCTTTTCTGATTTATAGAAAGCAAAGCAAAGTCTGTATTAACCTAGACCCTCTCAGGCAAAAAGAAAGGCCTGGGGCTGAGAAGATGCCTCGGCGGTTAGCATGCCTGCCACACAGGTGTGAAGACTGGACACCCAGAACCTTTGTAAATGTGGGGTGGGCATGGTGTTCAGCTTGTCATTCCAGGTTTGGAAAGTGAAGACTGAGAAATTCCTAGAGCAAACGGACTAGACTAGCTCTGAGTTTGACAGAGACCCTGACTCAATGAATAAGACAGAAGAGCCATCCAGGAAGAGTCTTAACATCAACTTTGATCCTCCCCAAGCACATGTGAGCCTGTATGCACACAAGCACCCAGACACATGCAAATATGAATACAGACAAACACTATACAGAGATACAAAAAAACAAGTTAAATAAAGGACTTTGGCAATCACTGTAAACACATACAGAGCTTCCTGGAGGGGAAGAAAGAGGATTATTATGGTAAACATCATGCCGTTGACAGTAAGAGATTTCCACCAAAACATAACTTCTCAATACACATTTACCAATTGACTTGTCATTTTTTGGGCTCTACTGTGTTCATTCCTACACACCTGGATGGCTGGCAGCTGGTGCTTTTCTCTTCACAATCCAAGGCTCTGTATTTTGCTCCAGAAATGTGACCAGATATGGCTTAGAGAAAACAAGACCTGTTTGGAAAAGGAAACAAGATGCTTGGCTATAACATGAATCTTAAAAGGTCTTATTAATAAAAACAAACCCGGAGCCAGGTATTGGGGTGAATGCTGAAAGATCAGAGAAACAGAACCAGCCACAGCTAACCTCGCCAGTTCCTCAGCTGATCTCGTTTCCTCAAACTGGAAGCCTCTGTGTCCTTATCAGAATGGATCTCAGCTGAACAGCTGTTCAAAAGCCTAAAAGCTTAACCAGGCTCCTAGTTCCTGGTTTTCACACCTTATATACCTTTCTTCTTTCTGCCATCACTTCCTGGGATTAAAGGTGTGTGTCACCATGCCTGGCTGTTTCCAGTGTGGCTTTGAACTCACAGGGATCCGGATGGATCTCTGCCTCCAGAATGCTAGGATTAAAGGTGTGTGTGCTACCATTTTCTGGCCTCTATGTCTATCTAGTGGCTGTTCTGTTCTCTGACCCCAGATAAGTTTATTAGGGTGCACAATATATTGGGGAACACAATATCACCACACTTGGCCTTTTCTCCTGTAAATTAACCTGTGAACCCCAGTTCTGTGCTTATAAGGAAAGAGAAGGCAAATGATTGTGGAAAATTCTGTGTTCAAACATTCCATGAAAGACAGGGAGCTTAAGAGTAATTTACAACCTATAGATCCCAAACCTCATTACAAAGAAGAGTATTACAGTTGAAGGGTGGGACGTTTTCTTTAACACACATGCCTCACGCCACTGAGCTTCTAACATTGCCACTACAGGATGCACACTTAAAAACAAATCTGTTAAAAGCACAAAAGGAAAAAGGAAATGTTTCTTAGCTGTATTGACAATTCCTCTAATTTTTCCTTTAAAAATGGGCATAGGAAACTAATCAATCAGCTGTGATGGTGGTAGCACATGCCTTTAATCCCAGCACTGGGAAGGCAGAGGCCAGCCTCGTCTACAGAGCAACTTCCAGGAGAGTCAGGACTACACAGAGAAACTCTGTCTCAAGAAACCAAAAGAAAAAAAGGAATATAAAAATAAAAAAACAAAGCTAATCAATCAAAAGCACAAGCTCCCATGAGATATTCTACAAATGGAGGAAGTTATTTATATGTTGACGATGTGTAAATAATTCACTGTGGACGTGATCCTCACCCAGGAACACAAGGTTGCTGTAGTTCTCCAACATCACTTCCTTGTACAGATTCCACTGAGCAGGCTCCAGGCATTCACACTCCTCTACAGAGAAATTAATGGCCACGTCTGTGAATGACAGAAGTTCCTGAAGGAAAAATAAGTGAATATCATAAATTAATGAAATAGGACAATTACACCAAAGTCAACAAGCCTGCAGTCGCAATTCTAAATTTTGCCAAAGGTGAAAGGAGAGTCAGAAATGCTTCTGAGATTGATGTGTAAAATTAATTGGAGTCTTCAAAATGAAGTTATATTATCTCCTGAATTATCCCTACTTAAAAGAAAAGAGAATGACTAAGAGCTAGTAAACTTACATGAATATAATTCTGTGAAATATAAAAGGTAAAATGTAGGCATCCACAAATAGATGCATTTAGCATGGTTTGCTGACATTATATGCCACACATTCCATACATTCTCACTTAGGATATACTATCTGGAAACTGAACCGCTGTGAAGATGGAGACCTTGATGTGGCTCTGGACTGAGGCTTCAGAGTTTGCACTAACTTCACTGGGGAAACTAGGAAAGCGTACCACAGAGCATGGGGTGGAGGAGCCAAGGGCAGAATAAAGAAGAATTCACAGATAAAATGGAATTGCAAGAATTTTACACATTTACAAGTTTTGAAACAGCAAAAACAGCATTTTGAATATTTTAAATACACTAAATGTAATTCTAATTTTTTTTTTCTCTTTCTCCTTCAGGGATTCGTGCATCTGATGTGCTCCTAAAGCAAATTTTGAACTCATGACCCAACTGCAGTGCTCTTCAGAGGTCTAGTGTTATCGATACATGACACAACCTTTTATTTTTTTCTCTTATTTGTAAATTTTCTACATTTCAGTACCCCTGTTTTTCTTAGTATATAATGTTCAAAATGATCTATGAGGGCAGTAACATTCTTACTGTTTATGTTAACTTATAAAAACGAGATTTACATATTAATGATTATATACTATTAGATATATACTTTGTTAGATAATATTAGATATATCCTTTCATGGTCTTTAAATAATTCTAAATATGTTATTCAAAAAATTTATTTTATATTTAAAATGCTCAAAAGCCTGTCTTCCAGGCATTTTAAATATACACTCCAGGACTGTATACTGTCACGATCCTGTGCAATAGTATCCTAAGCATCCCACTCCTACCTAACTGCATTGTGCACCCACTGATCAATACTTCCCGAGCATCTCTTCCTCATGTCACTAGACCATTGGAAACACCCGTATATCTTCAACTTCAGTGACGTCAAATTCTCTGGAGTCTGTCTATGGCTTAAATCATGTGCTCCTTGTCTTTCCATGTCTGAGATAATAATCCTGTCTATATGATCACAGACAAGATTCTGTTCTTTGTGCCTGAACAGGACTGGACATATGTGTGTGTACCTGTGAACATATGGAGAGCCTCTACCTTCCTTTCCCGGCAGGATCTTCTACATCTTGTCAAAAGACTTACGGTAACAATAAAATGCAAAGTCACAAGGGTTCCCTCAGCTGTCTGCAGCCTAGTCTCAGAATTTACTCTCATGTGAAATGTGCAAAGCGAAGCTGTTAGGATCATGGATAACAACACCGTTGATGCTCAGTGCCCCTGTAAATTGGCACAGACATTGGGGAAAACACTGCCCACGTTCTTCAAAAACCTAAAACTATAACTATCTAAATGAGCTGACTACTCCACTCCTAGGTGGACAGCTCCAAAGAGACTGAGCCAAACCTGCATTTCTAGGATAGAAGTGACTTGATCATAGCGGATGGTCTTGGTCTTGATGTTTGCATACATCCGGTTTCCATGACCCTGTCACTCACGGGCTCTCCACTGCAAAGGAGGCAGACACTCTCAACAACGGCCTTTCTAGGCCTCTCACACTGCCAAGCCCCAGCTGCTCTCCATCACCTCTTCATGCTTTCAAAATCAGTACCACGTGGGAGACTCATACATTACCAAGTGCAGCTGTCAGCGTGAAATTCAGTCTTGACCCCCTCTAGACCATAGCTCAGTGTACTGACGAAATACTCCCAGAAGCTAGTACCTCAGTGATTCTGGTCTATTTTTAATCACAGCTGATTTCTCAGTCCCAGCTATCAAATAGCAATTGTCCTAGGAAAGCAATAGATCCATGTCAGTAGTGCGAGTCTCTTGATAATCACAGCTCATTCTTCAGCCCCAGCTGAAGAGAAACCAGCAGAAGTCAGGGGAAACCGAGTGCAGATTATGCGAGTCTGGGGAAACCTCAAGCTTGCCCCCAACGACACACCTCCTCCAACCAGGCCACACCTCTTAATCCTTCACAAACCGTTCACCAGTGGAGACCAAGTATCCCAGCATAGGATGCTATGGGTCCATTGCACTCAAACAGAAAGTTTTTCTGGTTTGTGCACAGGCTTGAAACAGAGCTCAAAGTATATGGTGGTATATTAATTATTCAGGTTTTAAACCTTTACAACAGTCATTAATAATTAACATAGAGATATGGCTGAAAGTGCAATGGAGTGGAAAACAATTCCAGCACGAAAATGAACACGGTCTCTGTTTTTTCCTTAGGATGTGCCAAAATAAACCTTTGTGAGGAATTCACCGGCTGTCGCTGCTTGCAGCACTGAAGACTAGGACACAGAATAGAAAAGGGAAAAGCAAGTGTTGGAGAGACACTTGCTCGGATGTGTGAGGCCTGGGTTCCATTCCTAGCACAAAGCAGTAGACAGCAGGAAAAGTCATGATGCTGTACCTGCTTACACCCTGCTTACATGGAGATCACCAAGGCAAGAATTGCAGAATAGCCTCCAAATTTCTGGCGCCTTCCTCGGGATGTTAAGAGTGGATCAGCCATTCAATTCTGGTCTTGTTTCAGACCTGACCAAAACACTGAATTCTGACTCGCCTCTCTCAAAGAGCCAATGGGAGGAGCATTAGAACTTGAACGATAGGTACAATGCCAATGAAAACACAGGTCAAAGGCTATAACGAGAGCCTCAATTATATATATAAATTTATGAAGGGGTTCTATGGGGAAAACAGACTCACTGATACAGGACCGCCTCTATCAGGCCAGATAGCCTAAGGTCGTGGTTGGAGCGAATTCCCACTACAAAAGGCCATTACACACATTCCTGGGATAGCTTTGAGAAGCTCCAGAAATTCTAGCACAGCAAAGGTCACTGTTATTAATAAATTCCACACATCAAGGAGAATAATAAGGCATGGGCATAGTGGTGCACCTTTAATCTCAGTACCCAGCAGGCAGAGGTAAGCAGATCTCTATAAGCTCAAGGCTACCCTGGTCAACATAGAATTCAAGGTCAGATATAGCTGCATAGTAAGACCTTATCCAATAAGAATTAAGGCATAACCTAAACAAGGAAAACTGTATTAGAAAAGAAGAGAACATCCCCCAAATTTCCAAAGAATCCATCTATGGTACCTGAAGGAGAATGCAGATGGACACATCAAGAAAATGGCTGCGAAATAAGCAGGAACGTCAACAAACCAACTGTGAAATGTAGTAGGAAAAGAAAAGCAATGGGGCTTAAAATGACACACTGAATGGCCAAATGTATACAGGAGACCAATCCCAGACAAGAGCCTGTGAATGGGAGCCTGAGCAAACATGAAGGCCTTCCTCAAGCACGAGGACTGTGAAGGCAGACAAAACACACACACACACACACACACACACACACACACACACACACAAAAAAAAAAAAAAAAAAAAAAAAAAAACACCAAAGAGGGGCTAAAGGATTCAAGAAACACTTCAAGTGGGAAAAAGGAAGAGGAAGCCAGGCAAGGGGAAATAAGTAATCCTACTACGTGGGATGCAGAGGCAATAAGAAGAAGTTCACAGGTAGCCTGGGTTGTAGAAGATCCTCTCTCTAAAAACAACAATAAAAACTAAAAACTAAACACCAATCAGAATCAGAAACAAAAGAGAACAATTTTTAAAAGATGTTTCAAACAACACTATTTGAAGAAAGTACCAGACAACAGGAGAGACAGACAACTGGTTAGCTTTTGTCAAGTTGACATCATTTAGAAAGAAGAAACTGAAAGAGAGAAAATGCCACCACCAGCTTGGCCACTGGGCCAGTCTGCGGAACATTTTCTTGATTAATGATTTATGTGGGAGGGCCAAACTCATTGTCGGTGGAACCAATACTGGGCATATGGTCCTGGTGGCATGAGTTGCTTCTATCCTGGAAATTTAGGGTTGTTTCAACATACCTAAGTCAATAAATATAATAAATCATATAAATGAACTTAAAGACACAAATCACATGATCATCTCAATAAATGGAGAGGGAAGCCTTGGATAAAATCCAACATGCTTTCATGATTAAAAAAAAAAAATCTCCAGATGTGAGGATACAACATGGAGTAACCACAGAAACCAGGGAAGGATAAAGGGATCAGGTGGGGATTGGGGCATGAGAGAGGTGCCTGAAGAGGGAAAGGGAAAAACTGGAGGCAGCTTCAACTGGGGAGGGAGGGAGGTCAATACAGATGCAGAAGGGGGAGGATGAGAGCAAATAACACCAAGGTTATTTGATAAAACCTCATAAAATCATACTATTTTATACTTACCAAAAATTATACATTATATGCATACATAGACACAGAAACACAAGTATTCTCAACCCCTGAGCCATCTCTCCAGGCCACAAGATGTTTCATTTTTTTTTAAGTTACTTATTTTTATTTTTTCTACATGAGTGTTTGCCAGCTCGAATGTTCCCCTGGAACTACAGTTATAGACAACCGTGAGCCGCCATGTTGGTGCTGGGGACTGAACAGTTCCTCTGCTAGAGAAACAAGTGCTCCTATTTAAAAAAAAAAAAAATTTTGACAGTCTCATTTAGCATACCTGGCCTTGAATTTTCTACAAAGCAGCAAGTGACCCTGAACAAGTGATATCTTGCTTCCACCTCCCAAATGCAGAGATGGCAGGACATGGCACGGAATACACTTGCTTTTTCTTGTCAATCACAGGTCTGTTTGATGCATGTTAAATGTGTGTGTGTATGTGTGTATTAAATGTTTACGTGTGTGACCTATAATATAAATGAGCATATTGCTGTATTACCTCTACATTGTAAGAAACAAGATTTGAGGTACAAGAAAACGTACTTTTCACACCTTAAACATTGTAAAATGGCATATTATTAGCTTCCTGCAGATTAGTAACAATAACTAGGAAGTGTCCCCGTTGTTTTAATTAGTTAGATAATATGTAGAAAATATTAGTATTTATAACAATATGGTTTAAAGCTCGTGCTTCTTAGGAGTAGACTTTAATGCTGTAAGTCAGTCTCCAGCACATAAATACTCAATTTGACTGAAGTGTGGCAAAATACTCTTTTTTTTTGTTTTTTGTTTTTTGAGACAAGGTTTCTCTGTATAGCCTTGGCTGTCCTGGAACTCACGGAGATCCCCCTGCCTTTGCCTCACCAGTGCTGGGATTAAAGGGGTGTGCCTCCCCACCTGTTCAAGTGTGGCCAAATATAAAGAAGCACAAAAACTAGGATGAAGCCGGGCGGTGGTGGTGAACACCTTTAATCCCAGCACTGGGGGGGGGGGGGGGGGGGGGGGCGGGGCAAGGCAGGGGGATCTCTGTGAGTTCCAGGACATCCTGGTCTACAGAGTGAGTTCCAGGTCAGCCAGGGCTGTTACACAGAGAAACCCTGCCTCAAAAAAACAACAAAAATAGACAGGGTGAACTGCCCATGTATACAAATGATAGGACCCTGAGTGAGCCACAGATCAATCTCATCTTTTGATCTTTCTGACACTGTATAAATACCTGGGCACCCTACTCCTCAAGAATAACTGTTACAAAGAACTCTGTTGTTGGCTTCAGAGTTTCTAGACACTGCTAGGATGGAAGAAAAGTTTGTGACTAGAGAGCAATATAGACAGCCTGTCAGGTGTACCAGACTATCTCTCCTCTCCAGAGACATTCAAGCCCACTCCATTAACAACCCTCACACCAACTAATCTCTCCTTTCAGGAAAGGAGTCTAAAATTCTGACATCGCAGTATCTGGTGCAATTGGATGTGGTAATGTTTTCTAGTATTTTTCACTCTGCAATATAGGGTCGTTGGAACGTGCAAAGCTTAGAGTGTCCCCTTTATGGGATTTTTCGGCCTCATATGTGTGTGAGTGTGAGGATTCAGGTCAAGGAGGGTATACATAAGAGATCTCTATCCAAAGTGAGGCATCCTAAAAAATAACAATTTATTCCGAAAAAAAAAAAATGAGACTAACATCCCATAACCCAACTCTCTCGCAGAACTCTCTGTCCTGGGAACTACGGGCTTTATGAACTTTTGTCAACTCAAAGGAAGATTCCTCGGGCGGCTGCAGAGTACAAGGAGGGACCAGAAAAACCCCACTTGCTCTCGATGTCCTGAGAAATCTGACAACCGCAATGTGAGAGGTAATAACAGCATGCTTCCCCAGCCAAGCTGGAATGTGAGCTCCCACCACCTCGGGCACAAGCAGTCGACCAAGCCACCCAGCTCTAGCAATCCTGGACCTTCCACGTCCTCCGCTCTTCCCTCCCTGAAGCACAAGACTGACGTACTCAGGCAGCCTCCGGGTCCTAACGGAGCATTCACTCCCGGCACCATCCTCACGCCCTCTCCCCACCCCTCCCCAGCACCCGGGCCAAGCCTGTGTCAACACAGCTCTTCCCAGTCAGATGCTCCCCGCCTCCCACCCACCCCACCTCTGCTCCCTGCAGGCCGGACCTGCCCACCCTGCACCGGCCCTCGGGCCCGCAAGGCTACGCTGCACCCTTGACCAACCTCCATGTCGAACGCCGAGCACAAGCCACACTCTCCCAACTTTGAGAAAGATGCAGAGTTTGGAGAAACAAAAAAATGCAGAATGAACCCGGAAGCACAGAAAGCAGAGTCCTGTCTAGTTGACGTCATGATGAGAGACTACATTTCCCACAAGTCTATGCGAAGGACTGCCCAGCACCTAAGAGAGTGAGATGTACTTTTTATTACCCACGGACTCTCACTGGAATTAAGCTGCTTTAAAAATCCCAGATTTACAGATTTACAAAGGGCGTTGAGGGGATGTGAGTCCAGCTTTTGACGGCAAAGAGTATTAGGCTTACTTCTTGCTCTAATCAATGTGTCGTGACTTTAAAAGCTCAGGTGTACTTAGACTCTTATGGCAAGAGGAAAAATTCACATTGACTCAATTTTACTTCAAAATAACGGAGCAAGAAGCTAAGTTGGGACACACCACAAATTCTTTTTAGGATTGTTTTTGAAACCAAGTTTCCTGGAAATGTTCTGTAATCTGAGCTACTCTGGGTCTTGAGACAGAAGGATCACAAGCCTATGTCCCAAATTACAAAGTAGGAATAGAGACGGGGTTCCTTACCGATAAAGCATTTTCATAGAATGAAAGAGGCCTTGGTTTAATACCTAATAACTACAAATAAATCAATAAGAAAAAAAAAACGGTTTTAGTGTGTACACTGGAACTCAGTTTGGAGCATGGGCCAGGAAACACGTGTCTCTTATTACACCTACAGATAAGCCCCAGAATCCCTTCGAGACTCTTTTCAACGGTCGTGGGTCCCTTGTCCACATTTTTATCCATTCATCTGTGTAAACAATTTAATGTTGTAGGAGCTGTACCAGAGCTTCACCCACTTCTCTCCGGTCTTTCTCAAACCCGGCATTCTCTGAGCTCTCTGCTCCTTCTGAGGAAAATCAGTGTTGAGATCAGTACGGTGTGTGAACTGACCACTGTCTTTTTTCTGTTCTTGGCATTGCTCCTGTGTGACAGTATTTAAAGGGTGTTTTTTTTTTTTTTTTTTTTTTTTTTCTTGAGCTTCCCACTACTTTCCCATCTCAGAACACAGAAACGATTCTTCCTTTAGTACAAAGGCATCAGAAATACAGTCCTGGGAATATCAAAGAGGCTAGATTGACACCAGGGTGTACCCACAGTTACACAGTTCATCTCAGGTGTGTTTATCCCTGTACTGGTAATGTCTGAGACTCAACTATAAGCCCACAAGAGGAAAGAGTTCATTTTTATGCCATGGACACCGATTCACAATGAAATTATTTCTCAGATTAGAAGGTGGTTTTGCTTTGTTTTATTACCAGAAGTTTTTTTTTCAACTTGACACAAGCTGAAGTCATCAGAGTAGGCCTCAAGTGAGAAAGTGGGTCTGTAAAGATCAGGCTGTAGGCATGCCTGGAGGGTATTTTCTCAATACATAATTGATGTGAGAAGGACCAGGCCATTGTGGCTGGTACCACCCCTGGGCTGATGGTCCTGGGTTCTCTCAGAAAGCAGGCTGAGCAAGTCCTGGGAAGCAAACCAGTAAGAAGCAGCCCTCCTTGGACTCTGCATCAGCTCCAGCCTCCAGGGTTCTACCGTTTGAGTTCCTGCCCTGGCTTCCTCCAATGGACAGTAATCCAGGATATGTAAACCAAATAAACACTTTCATTCCTATGATTACTATTCATGGTTGTCAGCTTGACTACATCTGGAATTAACTGTAATGGAGGGATTACACCTGTGAGGGATTTTTTTGCTTGAAGTGGATGGATCCACTTCTAGTCCAGACCTTTGAGGTAGGAATACACACACCTTTGATCTTGATATTGAGGTGGGAAGATACACCTTTAATCTGGGCCAC